AATCCACCAGTATCAGTGTCAACCATGGTACAATAAAACAAGGTAGGGCAGCTTGAGGTGAATAACAAAAAAACAACTATGCACGTGTGGCCTCTTCTGCCAAAAATAAAATAAATATACGCAACAAGTGTTTGTGTTTATTTGACATTTTTTCAACACAAAACTAAAAACGCGAAAAATGAATGAAAGGTTATGATTTCTTCCCGCAATACAGTAGGGAATATCATAAAATGTTTGTTTCATCCATAACAAAGTAATTACTTCCAGACGAACGTGTTAAAAACTTTATTTTTATTTCAATTAAACTTGAATATATTTCAATTTGTTTTGAATTTATTTGACATTGTATTCAAAACAATACACACACATACACAAAATATGTATTTTGATTTGATGGAACAAGCCACCTTCAGAATAAATTGTGATTAGTTGGTAGCTGTGCCCTACCTTGTAATAATTATACCATGGTGTCAATATGAATTTGACAAATTATGTTTTTAAAAATCACCCAACAGGAAATAGATTTTATTCATTTTTGCTCAGCGTCATACTCAAATTTTCTCTCTTGCTCTCAATTGAGTTGCCATATTTTAGGTAAAAATCAACAGTGCTACCAAATTTCAGTGAGAATTTATATCAAAACATATGGCAGTGCTGTTAAAAAAAAAATATTTTCAAAGATTGTGGACGTTGTTTTACGAATTAATAATAAAATGAAAAAAAAAATAATGTTTTCAATAATTTTCCCCAAGTTCCTTGACATTATTGTTTATTAAATAATAAATTGATTTTGGTTTGCACAACGTATAATATTCTGTCAGAAAAGGAAAACACATAATTGACATTTTGTGCCGCTAGCCGCTAAGAGTCTAAACGCGTCAGAGTCTAGAGTCAGCGACAGTCGTTTGCCGTGTGTTTCTTATTGGCAACGGGAAATCGCGACGGCTGACGTTCGCGTCTAGCGGCATGACGCTAGAATAGATTTTATTCATTTTTGCTCAGCGTCATACTCAAAATTTCTCTCTCGCTCTCAATTGAGTTGCCATATTTTATGTAAAAATCAACAGTGCTACCAAATTTCAATGAGAATTTATATCAAAACAGTGCTGTTAAAAAAACAAATATTTTCAAAGATTGTTGACGTTTTTTTTTAACGAATTAAAAATAAAATGGAATAAAAATAATTTTTTCAATAATTTTATCCACGTTCCTTGACATTATTATTTATTAAATAATAAATTGATTTGCACAACGTAAAATTTTCTGTCAGAAAATGAAAACAAATAATTGACATTTTGTGACGCTAGCAGACCAGAGAGTCACGAGTCAGCGTCATACTTTTTCGCCGGCGTGAAAACCAAACGAAAGAGTTGGCGTTAGCGGCACAAAATGTCAATTATTTGTTTTCATTTTCAATAATTTTATCCACGTTCCTTGACATTATTATTTATTAAATAATAAATTGATTTGCACAACGTAAAATTTTCTGTCAGAAAATGAAAACAAATAATTGACATTTTGTGACGCTAGCAGACCAGAGAGTCACGAGTCAGCGTCATACTTTTTCGCCGGCGTGAAAACCAAACGAAAGAGTTGGCGTTAGCGGCACAAAATGTCAATTATTTGTTTTCATTTTCTGACAGAAAATTGTACGTTGTGCAAACCATGGTACAAAAATAAAAGGTAACAGCAAATCCCAGCTGATTTGATTCCAACGTAATACTAGTGTCAATATGAATTTGACAAATTATGTTTTTAAAAATCACCCAACAGGAAAATTGGGAACGAAAACAATTTGAAATTGTTCTTTATTAAATGTGCTCCCGTATTCAATTTACTCAATCTGCCTGCTGGGAAAGTTTAAGGAAACAAATCTTTCTTCAAGGAATAACTCGCTATTCCCAGCATTTTCATATATGTTACACATATATATGGCAATGGCTCAATTATAGGAAAGATGTGGAAGCGATAGAAATATAAATTTGATAGATTTTCATTCATGTTTTTCAATTTTTATTTTGAGATTTCGAAAATATTTAATTTTCAAAATACAAATAATTTGATGATAATTTGTTTGTTTACATTTTTCTGTCAAATGAGTTGACACTAGTAGAACTTACAACAACTAATTTCCATGTGGTTGTTGTATCGTGTTTTGTACAACAACACTTGCTGTTACCTTCTATTATTATACCATGTGTGCAAACCAAAATCAATTTATTATTTAATAAACAATAATAGTTCCGTTCCAGAACCTAAAACAATCTACTACTTTTTCAAGTTTTGCAACTTTTTACTCAAAACCCGTCCTGAACCCACAAAACTGGTAAAACATTGAATCAAATTTAAGAGAGCCCAAAACAAAATGGCGTTCTCTTTGTAAACTTTTTACTCGAGAAATTTGGCCGAGTAAAAATGGTAAACAAAAATGCCTACTTCTGATTGGCTGTTATGTTGATTTTGAAGTATTGCCATCTAATTTTGGCATATTTACTAGATTTGCGTTCCCGAACTTTTCAAAATATTTTGTACTCTGAGAGCAATTTTGAAATGTTTCCCTTTTACTAGATTTACTATTAAAAAAGTACTGGAACAGACCAAATGTCAAGGAACTTGGACAAAATTATTGAAAAAAATATTTTTCTTCCATTTTATTATTACTTCCATGGTATAATAATAGAAGGTAACAGCAAGTGTTGTTGTACAAAAACCGATACAACAACCACATGGAAATTTGTTTTTGTATGTTCTACTAGTGTCAACTCATTTGACAGAAAAATGTAAACAAATAAACAAATTATCATCAAATTATTTTTATTTTGAAAATGAAATATTTTCGAATCCTCAAAATAAAAATTGAAAAACATGAATGAAAATCTATCAAATTTATATTTCTATCGCTTCCACATGTTTCTTATAATTGAGCCATTGCCATATATATGTGTAACACATATGAAAATGCTGGGAATAGCGAGTTATTCCTTGAATAAAGATTTGCTTCCTCAAACTTTCCCAGCAGGCAGATTGAGTTAATTGAATACAGGAGCACATTTAATAAAGAACAATTTCAAATTGTATGCGTTCCCAATTTTCCTGTTGGGTGATTTTTAAAAACATAATTTGTCAAATTGATATTGACACTAGTATTACGTTGGAATCAAATCAGCTGGGATTTGCTGTTACCTTTTATAATTGTACCATGTATTAATTCGTTAAAAAAACGTCCACAATCTTTGAAAATATTTGTTTTTTTAACAGCACTGCCATATGTTTTGATAAAAATTCTCATTGAAATTTGGTAGCACTGTTGATTTTTACCTTAAATATGGCATCTCAATTGAGAGCAAGAGAGAAATTTTGAGTATGACGCTGAGAAAAAATGAATAAGAGTCTAAACGCAACCAGAGAGTCACGAGTCAGCATCATACTTTTTCGCCGGCGTGAAAACCAAACGAAAGAGTTAGCGTTAGCGGTACAAAATGTCAATTGTTTGTTTTCATTTTTCGACAGAAAATTTTACGTTGTGCAAACCAAAATCAATTTATTATTTAATAAACAATAATGTCAAGGAACTTGGATAATATTATTGAAAAAATTAATTTTCTTCCATTTTATTATTAATTCGTTAAAAAAAAACGTCCACAATCCTTAAAATAATTGTTTTTTTAACAGCACTGCCATATGTTTTGATATAAATTCTCATTGAAATTTGGTAGCACTGTTCATTTTTAACATAAAATATGGCAACTCAATTGAGAGCAAGAGAGAAATTTTGAGTATGACGCTGAGCAAAAATGAATAAAATCTTTTCTAGCGTCATGCCACTAGACGCGAACGTCAGCCGTCGCGATTTCCCGTTGCCAATAAGAAACACACGGCAAACGACTTTCGCTGACTCTAGACTCTATGGTTGCGTTTAGACTCTTAGAGTCTAAACGCAACCAGATTATGTTTTAAAAACATAATTTGTCAAATTGATATTGACACTAGTATTACGTTGGAATCAAATCAGCTGGGATTTGCTGTTACCTTTTATAATTGTACCATGTATTAATTCGTTAAAAAAACGTCCACAATCTTTGAAAATATTTGTTTTTTTAACAGCACTGCCATATGTTTTGATAAAAATTCTCATTGAAATTTGGTAGCACTGTTGATTTTTACCTTAAATATGGCATCTCAATTGAGAGCAAGAGAGAAATTTTGAGTATGACGCTGAGAAAAAATGAATAAGAGTCTAAACGCAACCAGAGAGTCACGAGTCAGCGTCATACTTTTTCGCCGGCGTGAAAACCAAACGAAAGAGTTAGCGGCACAAAATGTCAATTATTTCTTTTCTTTTTCTGACAGAAAAATTTACGTTGTGCAAACCAAAATCAATTTATTATTTAATAAACAATAATGTCAAGGAATTTGGATTAAATTATTGAAAAAAATATTTTTCTTCCATTTTATTAATAATTCAATAAAAAACATCCACAATCTTTGAAAATATTTGTTTTTTTAACAGTACTGCCATATGTTTTGATATCAATTCTCATTGAAATTTGGTAGCACTGTTTATTTTTACCTAAAATATGGCAACTCAATTGAGAGCAAGAGAGAAATTTTGAGTATGACGCTGAGCAAAAATGAATAAAATCTATTCTAGCGTCATGCCGCTAGACGCGAACGTCAGCCGTCGCGATTTCCCGTTGCCTATAAGAAACACACGGCAAACGACTGTCGCTGACTCTAGACTCTATGGTTGCGTTTAGACTCTTATGTGCCATGGACGGAATGAAAAAAATTGTTGTCCTTTCTTCTTTCCCTCTATTCTAAACATACAGCGTTATGCTTCACACTCATTCGTAAACTTGAAAAATACCTCAAAATTCGTTTCGATTTTATCTTTATCTGTGCCCCCTATTCGCAATTCTCGAAACGTTTTTAGTTTAGGATGGCGCGCACAAAGCAACCACAACGCCCGCAATACAGAACGAACGAACAAGTTAAACAATATGCCTCCTAATTTGAAAATATGTCCTTACGCTGAAAAATGCTACCGAAGAAATCCCATTCACTTCAACGAATATTCGCATCCACATCGTTGAGTATTAAAATACTAAAAGTTATAATTTTTTAATCTTGTCTGTTCTACTTCCAGTGGATAAGATATACAACAGGGGTTTGGACTCACAGACTCGTGAGTATGTTATACCAGCTGAATTATCCCAAAATGCGGATGTGATTTTGCAACAACTAAAGCTGCTGGAGAAATTGTTTCCAAAAGATACCATGTCGCTTCAAGCCGAAAATGTGCAGTCTATACGTGAAACTTCAACTGCGAAGGCAGAAAAGCGGGAATATTCTCCTAAGCCATCAACCTCAAGAGGTGCGAGCAGTGGTGATAGCAGTTCAAACTTGTCTAAAAAACCGAAAGTTACCAGGAATATAAGAGATTACGTACCCGTTGTTGTTGAAAAGGGTAGAATGTTGAAGAAGTTAGAAGCGGCTGCGCCGTATAATTTTTTCCTAACTGCTATTACAGACTCCAAACCAACTCATAATGAACCTTTGACTATTACAATGCAAGGTAACGTAATGAAATATATCGTCAGGATATAATTGACATTTTAAAATAACTATTTCAGAGATCCTCGACGAAAGTTTGGGGGTTATTGAAGAGTCTGTTCAGATAAACTTTATGGTGGACATTGGCTGGTTATTGGGGCACTATTACTTTGCAGGCATACTGTAAGTGTAAAAGAAGCTGATTGGCATTTTTATTGAATATTTCATTAAAACTAACACAGGGATACGCCTTTACTTGTGTTGTACGGAGATGAAACGCCAGAACTGCAAACTATTTCTAAACATAAACCAAAGGTTAAAGCTATTAAGGTAAAAATGCCAACACCGTTCTCAACTTCACATACAAAGATGATGTTGTTGGCGTACAAAGATAACTCGATGCGTATCATTGTGTCAACGGCAAATCTTTATGAAGATGATTGGCATAATCGCACTCAAGGTGTCTGGATAAGTCCCACCTTGACGCCACTGGAACCAGATGCGGATACTGCTGCAGGTGAAAGTCCTACAAATTTCCGACAGGATTTAATGTTGTATTTGGTGGAATATAAATGTGCGGAACTACAAACGTGGATTGCAAGAATACGAAGGACCGATTTCAGTGCTATAAAGTAAGTTATTCAATGAAATTTGGTTAATCGCAATCTTATTTTAAGAATAGTGCGCCGAAAGAACTAGCAAATTCGTTTAGAAAATAAATGACCCTAAGGAGGAGTACAGTATTCTCAAACGATGAACTAATTTTAAATCTTATTAACAAATCCTTGGATTAACTCTAGTTTAGTAAAAACGATCAGACTTTCCAGATGTAGGTATCATTACTCTAATTATGGAATTTATTTTTTATGCCACGTACTAGGTTATCTGAATCGGAAGTTCGAGTACCCAGCTATTAATAAAAAATGTTTATAAAATTACATTTTACATAAAATGGTGACATGAGATGTTTATCTCTAACAAACGTGACTGTATTTCCCTAAATCAATAGGAGTTGATGGAATCCCCATTACATTTATTAAAATCGTTTTCCCCTATATATCTGAGATCATCTTGGACTTGGTAAACGCTATATTAACTTCGTCTATTTTTCCCCTATGTTGGAAAACTGCTCGAGTAGTACCACTACCTAAATGCCGTTCGGTGATCTCAGACCTATATCAATTTTACCAGCACTGTCAAAGGTTATGGAGTATATTATTAAGAAACAAATGCTTGAGGTTTGTTCATCTAGAATTTGTGATTCTCAACATGCTTTCCGTCAGGGTTACAACACCACTCATTTGCTTCTTAAAATGACTGGACAAATTAAGTGTTTGTATCATTAGATTTGTCTAAGGCATTCAATTCTATTGATCATGATAAGCTCGTAAGGAAACTTAAGAATAACTTTGACTTTTCTAAATCAGCCTGCAAGCTAATATTGTCTTATTTGTTCAGAACCATTGTACTTCAAAAACATTTTTTATTATATTATTCCATTATTTGATGTAGCGACCTATCACATAGGGCAAAGGACTCCAATATTATATCTACTCTCAACCAATAATTTCAATTTACAGTTTTAAATATCTTATTATATCACAATTATCAATATAAAATATATAATTTATTATAGTTATATTTATTTAAATGTTGAAGTCAGTTATGCAATAAAAACACAAACAAATAAGCAAAACCCATGAATTTAAGATGAATTGAGGTTGAAGTAATCGTATAAATGAGTTCGATAACATGTTAAGGAAGAGTTAAATGTTTTAAGAGAAGGCGGTAAGGTGTTAAAAATTCTAGAAATTCGTACTAAAAAGGATTTTTCCAATAAAGGACACAAACTCGGAACAAGTATTTGTATGTTTCTAACAGATCTAGAAAACATAAACAAATCAACTACAGAGGAAGGAGTCTGCAACTTAAATACCTTATAGAACAACAACATTGACCTTAAACTCACAAAACTTTCAAAGGTACAACCGAGGAACTCTTTAACGTAAGGTGAAATGTGATCACGACGTTTAACACAATATACATATCGCATAACTTTATGGAACAAGAGTTTAATTTTACGTAAAACATATCCACAACAACCCCCAAAAATCTCAATACAAAAAATTTGGCATAATCAATGCATGGGCCAATTGAATTCTAATGCTCTTAGGTGTAGCCATATCCAAAGAGTACAACTTTCTTAAAATAAAGTTTACCTTGGACACCAAAGAATTAACATGCACATCAAACACCAAACTACTATCAAGAAACAAACCAAGACATTTCATAGAGCTTACAACATTTATAGAATTATTATAAATGGAAACATTTACTGAATTCTCTTGCAAGTTCCCAAAAAACATAACTTTACTCTTTCGTGTATTAATTGAGAGTCCGTTTGCAGATAACAACGTTACTAACACATTGATATTAAAATGTATAGAGGACTGCAAAACATCTAAAAACACATAAAAAACAAAATCTGCAAGTCATCAGCAAATGACATGCAGCTTCTACTACTAATACAACTTAGCAAATCATTAACATACATAACAAACAATAGAGGCCCAAGTACAGACCCCTGGGGTACACCACTACTCACAGGGAGCATTCCAGAAACAACATTCCTACAACAAACATACTGCTTCCTTCCAAACATATACGACGAGATAAGCTTACAAGCTGAGGACGAAAAATTGAACAAACTATGTAATTTTCTAATTAAATTAGCGTGATTAATTTTGTCAAAGGCTTTCTCCAAGTCTACTGAAAAATTACCGAGCATATCCTCTAAATATTTATATAGGTCAAGAAAGAATTGATTTTGTACACCACCATAGATGTCTAGGTGTTATAGTTGATTGTGAACTATCCTTTAAATCCCATATTGATGATTGACCTGTAAAGTATGGGGTACATTACGTAGGATTTATTCGTTTATTTTGTACTTAAATCAGCGGATAAAGCAAATTCTAGCTAATTCCCTTTTAATGTCTCAGGTTTTATATGGGCTTGAAGTATATTCTGGGACAATTGTCAAATATCGTTGCTTATTCCTTTTTTATAAAATAATTAAAAATGATTCCCCCGTATCCTTGAGAATTTTATTTTCTTTTCCAATTCTTATATTCTTATACATGTGCTGCTTATTGGTTATTGGCCATATATTAAAATCTATATTTGTTTTTATGGCTGGGGAGCCTTCATTCAATTTTTATCAAAGTAAAATTATTTATATTTATTTATGTTTAATATATAATGTATCTCAGGCTACGTATATTTGTCAGCAGTTACGTATTAATGGCCTTAAGGCTTTGTATCATAATTGAATTTGAAATAAAAATAAATAAATAAAATAAAAATTACCTTTTACATAAAATGGTGACATGAGATGTTTATCTCTAACAAACGTGACTGTATTTCCCAAGCGGATTGAGAATAAAGGTATTCGTATAACCTTAAAAATTATACACATTTTGTATTAATTCATTCCGTAGAACCGGGTGCAACCAGTCATTGAACTTCCGGGTACGCTTCTCCAAGGAAAAATATCATAATTAGGCTAATAATACCAACCTCTGGAAAAAGTCAGATCGTTTTTACTAAACTAAAGTTGTTCCATTGTCATTGTTTTATCTTACAGTGTATTTTTCATTGGATCTGTACCCGGAGGCCATAGAGAAGGTCCTCGTGGTCATCCATGGGGTCACGCTCGTGTTAGTACCATACTTCAAAAACATTGTACACCAATAGATGAGTCGGTCCCTGTCGTCTGCCAAAGCTCAAGCATTGGAAGTTTGGGTGGCAATATACAAGCCTGGATACAAAACGACTTACTTAATAGTTTTCGACGTGATAATAAACCCCTCGGAATCCGCAAATTTCCTCAATTTAAAATGATATATCCGAGTTTTTCAAACGTGAGTGGAAGTCACGATGGTATGTTAGGTGGTGGATGTTTACCTTACAGCAGAAGTACAAACGATAAACAACCATGGTTAAAGACCTACCTGTATCAATGGACATCCAAGCTTCGTCATCGTTCACGTGCAATGCCACATATTAAATCATATAGTCGATTCAATGTTGAGGATAAGTCTATATATTGGTTTATATTAACGTCAGCGAACTTATCAAAGGCAGCATGGGGTTCCTTTAATAAAAATGCAAACATCCAGGCCTGCTTGCGCATTGCTAACTTTGAGGCAGGGCTGTTATTTTTACCTAGGTTTGTGGTAAGTACATTATCAATTATGTGCTAAATATATTGATGTTGATTGTTTTTTTCTAGATTGGTGAGGATACTTTTCCCCTTGGAACTGCAAGAGATGGAATACCACCATTTCCACTTCCGTATGATGTTCCATTGACCCCATATAATCCAGATGATAAACCTTTTTTGATGGATTACTTACACGAACTATGAAAAAATAACAAATCCAACGTTATATGATTATTTAAAACTAATGTAAATGCATATGCAATAATACATACCTTCGCTTACCGTGTTTATATATCACTGTGCAGAAAATTAGTTTATCGAAAATAAATATTCAATGACAAAAATTTGTACAGGAAGTTGGAAAATTTTCAGGAAAAAATTTTTTTTTCACAAGATTTAGGTTAATCAAAAAGCGGAAAAATAAGTTCGCATTTTTTGACAAATTTAATATTTTTTTGTTGAAAAAAAAAGTTTCCACACATTGTATCAAATTTAGATTTGGCGAGTTTACTTGCGGCAAGTCTTTCTTTGCAGTAGTAGAGGGGCAAGGGAAATAGAAATGGAAAAAATTGCTCGTACCGGCAATTTCTTTTTGTGTATTTCGTTGTAGTGTCAGTATTTTGAAATACCAATCCAGAACATTTTCGAACATAAAAAAAAACATTCACAAAATGTCAATAAAAAATAGTTTTGAAACTGAATTGCCTTGTATAGACGCATGAAGCAAGTTCAAAAGAGAACGATAAAAATTACCGCAAGTAAACTCGTCTAATGGTGTTTTTACACGATATGTATTTTACATATGTGCTGTCACTTTTTTTACGTATGGAAATCGAACTCGTCATGTGAAACATACAGAAATTTCAATGTGTCAAAACGATATGCAATTACATATGTATTTTTTCCGAATAGGACGCGCTTTATTTTCGTATGTAAAACATAAGGAAATCAGCTGTTTGAATGAAACACATTGTTGGAAGAAAATATGTATTTCAATTGCAAGTCAAAGAAAAGGATGAAAAGGCCACAATTACAAATTATTATTTCGTTAGTAGGTGTTTAATAAAAAATGGTTTTGATTTAAGAAAAAATAAAAGTGTTTTTTTGTTTATAAGTTATGTCATATGACACACAAAAAATTAATGTTTTGTGTACGCTGCTAATTTTGACACACATAAGGAATTACATATGGATGAAATAAGTGATAGCACATATGTAAAATACATATCGTGTAAAAACACCATAATCTAAATCAGGACTTATGGAAGGTAGTCTCATTTGAGAAGTATATGATGGCAACCCTTTTTAATATGGAATTCAGGGTCCTACCTAAATTCTTGCGTATGCGTACAAATTTATTCACCTCAAAAGTTAAATACATGTGTTTTAATAAATGTTACCCAAATACGCATTGCGTATCAAAATATAAAGTTGAAAATTTTCAACATTGACAATGCGTATTTTGGAATTTTTGTTTTTTTTTTTTGAAAATTTGTGTTTCTATAAAAGCAAACATTTTTCGATCAATTAAAAAAATTTTTATCCATTTTCGCCGTTTTTAATTGGCACAGATGCAAATAAAGTCCTTACGTATTTGGGTAATACGGACGTAATAGGCACGACCCTCATATATCAATTTCAAATAAAATTAAAAATAAATTCCATAAAATGTAGCGTATGTCGAGTGACATATGGGCACTTCCGCAGTCACACGACTTTCAGAGGCAAAATCAAACTTTAAATGTTAAATAAATTAAAAACAATTATTTTTTTACAATTCTCCCAAAAAACTTTTTTGTAGAACTTTAGGAGTACTATCAGTGGTAAAATTTGAGGGCCTCCGGTTTTTATCTTCTAAGATAAAAATACTTTCAAAATTTGGACAAAATAAGGACAATATTTTCATATCAATTTTGAGAGCTGAATGCTGTTAAAGACAAATTTATGAAAATAAAATGGAAACATATGACTGCATTAGACTACCTTGTATAATTATGCCACGATTTAAAATTAATGTAATAAAATTAACAATATTTATGTGAATTCAATATAAAAATAAATACTGATTGTTCAACAAAAGCAATTGCAACCTCGCAGTAAAAATTATCCAAGATAATAGTTTTTTTAAACGTATTTTTTATGGTTAATACCAATGGTACAATTATAAAAGGTAACAGCAAATCCCAGCTGATTTGATTCCAACGTAATACTAGTGTCAATATGAATTTGACAAATTATGTTTTTAAAAATCACCCAACAGGAAAATTGGGTACGCATACAATTTGAAATTGTTCTTTATTAAATGTGCTCCCGTATTCAATTTACTCAATCTGCCTGCTGGGAAAGTTTCAGGAAGCAAATCTTTCTTCAAGGAATAACTCGCTATTCCCAGCATTTTCATATGTGTTACACATACATGTGGCAATGGCTTAATTATAGGAAAGATGTGGAAGCGATAGAAATATAAATTTGAAAGATTTTCATTCATGTTTTTCAATTTTTATTTTGAGGATTCGAAAATATTTAATTTCTAAATAAAAATAATTTGATGATAATTTGTTCGTTTACATTTTTCTGTCAAATGAGTTGACACTAGTAGAACTTACAACAACAAATTTCAATGTGGTTGTTGTATCGTTTTTTGTACAACAACACTTGCTGTTACCTTCTATTATTATACCATGGGTTAATACTTAATATGATATTTTCCGTGTAAGTGTCTGAATTCTACTTGTAAAGAATTTTTCACACTTGGTATGCTTGAAATGTTATTGCTTCTAATATTTTTCTCCAAAATGACTGAAACGTACAGCACAGAAATATGGGATATACGAATAAGTCCATGTATGTAGCGACATTCGAATTAAAAAAGACGTTAAAATATATTTTGTTGCAACTAAACAATTTAAAATGATGTATGCTAGAAAATCAAAGAACTAGAAGTTCAAAATGATATACAGCGTAAGCCATTAAATAGAGCAGATGTCATTAATGCCTGTTGCCAAACCACTCTAAATTCTACCAAATAATAGCTTACGCTATCATTTTTTATTACCTGCATATTTTCTGCAAAAAATAAATTGTACAAAGAAAGTTTACGAAAACTGGTTGTAATCTATAAACAACATTTACATATACAGAAGTACATATGATATTTTCCGTGTAAGTGTCTGAATTCTACTTGTAAAGAATTTTTCACAATTGGTATGCTTGAAATGTTATTGCTTCTAATATTTTTCTCCAAATAATCCTTATGGATTCAAATCCGGGGAATGAGGAGGTGTCTGAATCAATGTTGGACAATTGCAAAGCATCCATTCTCGAACGATATGGATGGGACTTGTGTTTGGGGGTCATTATCTTGATAAAAATTGAAATGTTGTCACCAATCTCAATTTGTATTTATTTAATTTTTATATTTCATATTGCCCAGTCTTTCGACCTTAAGGCTGTAAGCTACATTTCACAATTAAATATAAATTTTATCATATTAAGCGGCTTAAATGTAAAAGGGAGGGATATTGAACTACTGAAGAATATTATACCGATCAAACTACAAAAAAAAAGTTTTTGATTATTATAGGTTATGATTAAAAAAATTGATTAATTGGATTATGACTACTTCAGTAGGAATGGAATGGTTAATGGTTAATCCACACCAAAAGAAAATTATTATATATAAAAATGAGTTGTACACTACATTTCAAATTACCTTTTAGAATGAAAATGCGGACATTGAGAAACAAGTTGTTAACAAAAGCATCAACCAACATTTTAAAATGACTGAAACGTACAGCACAGAAATATGGGATATACGAAAAAGTCCATGTATGTAGCGACATTCGAATTAAAGAAGACGTTAAAATATATTTTGTTGCAACTAAACAATTTAAAATGATGTATGCTAGAAAATCAAAGAACTAGAAGTTCAAAATGATATACAGCGTAAGCCATTAAATAGAGCAGATGTCATTAATGCCTGTTGCCAAACCACTCTAACTTCTACCAAATAATAGCTTACGCTATCATTTTTTATTACCTGCATATTTTCTGCAAAAAATAAATTGTACAAAGAAAGTTTACGAAAACTGGTTGTAATCTATAAACAACATTTACATATACAGAAGTACAAACACACAGTACCAACGTCAACTATTTTTGGCCACTAGAAAAGTGGATAATTTGTTGACAGTGCAAGCTGAAGAATTTAGTTTGGGTTGTGGCTTTAGTACTGTTGAAGTCGCAATGGCACAAACATCACACAACCATACATTTCCATATCAAATTAATTTGCTCGATTCAGAAATTAATAAGGAATTACTTCAATACTTTCATGGTAGCATTTTTGTATTTTTTTACATATTTGATTTAAAACTATGGCATCTTTTAAGGAGAGAAAACTGGATTTGTTCAAGTTGGACCTGAAAAGTATTTCTTCCCTTACAAATATAAGAGCGAAGCAGAAAACTATTACAACTTTAAAGCCAGGCCAAGTGATATATGGGTTGTAACTTGTCCCAGGTCCGGAACAACGTGGACACAGGAGATGGTATGGTTGTTATGCAACGATTTGGATTTTCTTACGGCCAAACAAATTAAATTGACTGAACGTTTTCCATTTTTTGAGTAAGTTTTATATTATCTGCATCTTTGCGAAGAATGCATGTTAAATCACATTTCACAGGTTTCACTTGTTCGTACACCCTGAAATTAAAAAACAAATACTCGAAGAGGTTGCTCATAATAAAGAACAACAGGAATTCATTGAATTGATATCTACTCCTGGCTATAAACTATTGTCTGAAATTCCTGAAACAAAAAGGCGATTCATTAAAACTCATTTCCCCTTATCTTTGTTGCCTCCCAGTGTGATGGAGCAGAAGTGTAAGGTATTTTCGGATATAAGATTATTTGTATTTTGTATTGTTTACCATGATATTACTTCAGATTATTTATGTAGCTCGAAATCCAATGGATGTTGCAGTTTCATATTACTACTTGAACCGTTTGTATCGTACTCAAGGATATGTGGGAAATTTTGAGCGTTACTGGACATATTTCCAGGATGGTCTAAGTATACTTTTTATATAAAAAAAAAATGTTTCTAAAACTACTATAATTTCTCTTAGACCCATGGCTCCCATATTTTAGCCATGTCCGTGAGGCTATGCAGCATAGAAAGTCGTCAAACTTCCTATATCTTCAGTATGAGGATATGTCTACAGATCTTCAAGGTTCAATTAAACGTATTGCCAATTTTTTGGGTTGCGATTTAGATTATTCAAAAATGGAAGCTCTATTGCAGCATTTGAATATATCAAATTTTCGTTTAAATACATCTGTGAATGGTCAGGAAATGATGGATGCTCACATTCTAAATAAAGAAAATAATGGATTTGTTCGCAATGGAGTAGCAGGGTCCTCATTTGCCGAGTTTCAAGCTGTGCCCGGATTGTTTGAACAAGCAAATAAGTGGATTACTGAGAATATTACTGCCTTAAAGACGAATGGGAATAAAACCGAAACGACATGACACAATTATAGAAGGTAGGGCATATCCACCATCTGATAACACTTTTTCTCAAGATGGTTTGTTCTGTTTATTGTTTTAAATACAATGTCAAATAAATTAAAATTTAATTGAAATAAAAATGATTTTTTACCGCGTTCGTCTGGAATGATTACATTGTTATGGATTTTGGGAAGGAATTACAAACATTCATTTATTTTTCGTTTTTTTAGTTATGTGTTGAAAAAATGTAAAATAAATAGAACAATATTTATTTATATTTATTATTTATAATTTTATGTAAGCCACTGCCTGCATAGCTGATTTTTTGTTGCCCTACCTTGAATTAGTGTACCGGGGTAGTAGTCTCATTTCTTTTTAGTTTGTTTTAATTTCGATATTATTCCACATATCACATTTATTTTTATTCGATTCCTTTGCAATTTAAGCCAATTTACAATTCATGTGGCCAATTTAAAGTTAATTACAAAGATTCCACCTTGTTTCTATTCTACAATTAAATACACATTGCAATATTTATTCTAGCAATATGTGAACACCACTGTGGTCACATATGGTCTGTTCCCGTACTGCAAGAATCTACTACTTTTTACTACGATAACGAATTTTCCTTTATTATATCGAAGAAAATAGTAAAATCGAGTAGATTCTTGCTGTACGGGAACAGACCAATAACTAAAACATGAAATGTGGTAAAAATTGTTTGACAAGCCCCCGATCCGTTTGAAGTATTATTAAAATTTTTTTCATTCAAAACACGTAGTGTACTATATAGATTTAGTGTGATAGGAAAATATTGCATTAAAATGTTCGTGAAAAACGTCGACTTTGAGCTGGCCGCATAATTAAAACACCGTGTGATCATTTACTTTGCTGCAATTTATTTGCAAATATATTAAAAAAAAAACTTAATTTTGGTAAATTTAAAAATTTAGCGCCGAAAATATAAAAAATAAAGGTGTACCAGAAATTGCTACAATTAGTAGATATCAATAAATAATTTATCTATATATGTATGTATATATAAATAATAGAATGTACATGCGGTCATTGTATGTACACGTTTTCCATAAAAAGCACGTACATTTTGGGATAAATGCAAGGACGAAAATCAGAGGACATATATTTCCTTATACGGCATTTACATTAGAACTTTTTACCGGGTTAACCTACTTTATTAGGATTTATTTGGCATATATTCAAAGGAATTGAAAATGTAAACCCACTGGGTTAACCAAATCCGGTTAAATGTAAACGACCTTTTAAAGTACCTAAAATATTCCTATGCAACGGAAATTTCAAATCGGGTGGTAGCATTTTATGGTTCTTATCATGGCACAATAAATAGGTAGTCTGTCAAAGTGCGTAATTTCTACTTCAATTCGATGTGCAATGTTGCCATCCATGTCAAATATTATACGGAAAAATCATGGTACAATTACACAAAGCAACTACAATACTCAGCTGATTTGATTGTATCGTAATACTCGTGTCAAGATCGATACGACATGAACTACACAGCAGGAAAATTTTGTACACATCAAATTTGATACAAAAAATACAATAACAATAATTTCAGCTTTACAATTTAAGGGCTAAGCAGAATGCTCGCGTTGAGCCATGGCCTATAAATAAAGTCACCAAGGGAGACCAGCTGATTATCGATACCTCTCAAGTTTGCTGTCAAAATGCATTATTGTGAATTGACTTCCATTATGAAAACGTTAACAAAGTCGAAATTTTTGACATCAGACTTGAGAAAAAACATCCGTTGCGTTATGTGTTATCGAAAATGCAACAACCACCAGGAAACGATAACGCTAACTAAAGGGCTAAGCCATGGCCTATAAATAAGGTCACCCAGGGAGACCAGCTGATAATCGATACCTCTCAAGTTTGCTGTCAAAATGCATTATTGTGAATTGACTTCCATTACGAAAACGTAAACAAAGTCGAAATTTTTGACTTGAGAAAAAACAGCTGTTTTCCGATTTGGTGACCTTATTTATAGGCCATGGCATGATCCAATAAACAGGTCGTGTAAGAAGCAATCGTTATCGACAATTTTGAATTAAAATCCCCCAAGCTGACAATTTTTTTTTGTTTACGTTTTCACACAATTAAGTTAAAATTGAAAGCATATTGTCAACTCGCCTGAAATCATCTGGCCTTATCGGACGACCTTATTATTGGATCATGAACGATAACATATTTTCAATAGTCCTGATTTATATTAGGCGAGTTTACTTGCGGCAATTTTTATCGTTCTCTTTTGAACTTGCTCCATGCGTCTATACAGGGCAATTCGGTTTCCAAAAAATTTTTCATTTGTTGTTTTTTCACATTTAAATATACATACATATATAAAATGTCAACAAATACGAAATACACAAAACGAATTGCCAGAAAATTGTCGGTAACACATTTCTATACCCCTTGCCCCTCTCTCCTACAAACAAAGACTTGCCGCAAGTAAACTCGCCTAATCTAAATCAAGACATACAAACAGTCAATTAGTTGCATGGCCTATAAATAAGGTCACCAAGGGAGACCAGCTGATTATCGATAACTCTCAAGTTTGCTGTCAAAATGCATTATTGTGAATTGACTTCCATTTTGAAAACGTAAACAAAGTCGAAATTTTTGACATTAGACTTGAGAAAAAACAGAAGTTTTCCGATTTCGATTGCTATCTTGGTGACCTTATTTATAGGCCATGGTCACCAAGGGAGACCAGCTGATTATCGATAACTCTCAAGTTTGCTGTCAAAATGCATTATTGTGAATTGACTTCAATTATGAAAACGTAAACAAAGTCGAAATTTTTGACATTAGACTTGAGAAAAAACAGATGTTTTCCGATTTCGATTGCTATCTTGGTGACCTTATTTATAGGCCATGTTGGTGACCTTATTTATAGGCCATGATTAGTTGAAAGTCGACATATGTATCCCTAGTACTAAAGCGACCAAAGACATAAAAGTACGATTACGATTGTAAGTCTTTGAAGCGACAAGCGACTCAACACTAATGTTGGAAGGCTGGTATTGCCGGACATTGAATGAGCAGGAGCAATCTGCTCAGCCTGTACATAATGAACATCACATTGAGGGTAATGATGAAACAGATTCTTCTGCTAGTCAAGATGAAAGCCGACGAGACCAATCTAGTAATGCGGTTGACTACAAGTCTCAATACAGATATCTTAAAAGGAAATTGAAGTTCTTGATATACGTGCGTAATAAACTATTAAAAACCTGTAATTAATAAAAATTAAAATACACGGAAATTCTTGTTATAGGAAAATGAATTTTTTCAGGATGCCCTTCGTTCAAACCAACGTCGTTTACTGAAAGTATCTCGCGACAGAGCATTTCTCTTAGATCGTCTGTTACAATATGAAAAACCGGAAAATACTTCTTCCGAGAGCGAGGAAACTGAAGAATCTTCTGAAGATGAAGCGACAAAGGACATCAAAAAGTAAGCTAATGTTATTTGTGTGCGTATAATTCTTAGGTATTTTATATTTGCAGGCGCAAATTAGACCAAACATCAAATATCCTCACGCCAGGAACATCAAGAGGGAGGAAGAAGAAAATTGCGACACCAGTTAACTCTGAGATTCACAATTCTAAAGGAAGTCAGTCCCAATATAACCCAGCTGCAGACGATTGTCAACAACCCCAGGCAGATGTTAATCCACATTTAGCGAATGAATCTGTAATGGAGCTGATGACAGATCAAATTACTGTACCAAAGGAAATGTTCAGTAATGATCCCTCTTTGGACAGTGAACCTAATGAGCATTTAGTCGAATGTTCTTCACCAAGTCATGTCGCCGCTGAAGAGTGTGTTCCCATGGAATACAGTAATTAAAGTCATAAACATGTTAGATTAAAATCTTCATTTATTACTGTCTGACATAAAATATAATAATATGATACCGATTACGATTTAAATGTTCCTACAGCTAATAAGAGGTTTCGCCTTGTAAAGTGAAGTGTTGTGAACGGGGTTGATTTTGTTGGGAATGCTCTAAGGAGGTAATGATCGCTTTCATCAACTTCTAGATTGTGGGATGCGTTCGAGTTCTGAGATATGTAATCTTCGCTAAGTTTGGAAAAATCCCACAATGTTAGGTAGCAATCCAAACCTCCAACTGCAAGGATAGTTCCGTCTCGACTGAATGTTATTGTATGTATCGATCCTGTATGTCTAACTAGTGAAGTGACAAGTTGGCCATGGGATAAATCCCAAATTAAAACGTTGTGGTCCGACGAACCCGATGCCAAATACCGACCACATGTTGAAAATGCCAAGGCATATACTGGCCCCTTATGACCAGTCATGAGGCGCACCAATTGACCTGTGAGTACGTCCCAAAGTCTTACAGTACGATCGCTTGATCCACTAGCTATGTAGTTTGAGTTAGGGTGAAATTGCACACAATCAACGTCGGACAGGTGTCCCGTAAATATTCGCAGTGGCTGGTTGGAATCGGTAGCCCAAAGTCGCACAGTTTTGTCATAAGAACATGAGGCGAAGTAGTACCCATGCGGAGAAAACCGTACATCCCAAACTGGAAACAGGTGACCTTTGAAGACCACAATACATGTCCACGTGTGCAGCGACCATAAGCGAATAGTGGCGTCCTCCGAACAAGACAGCAACATGTTTTTTTCAGGGGCGAAAGCACATCTATATACTGGTCCGCTATGGCCATAGAATGTCCGTGCTGACTCCCCAGTTCGATCATCCATCATCCGAACTAACACATCCTCAGCATCCTTATCAATGTCTTTTAACATCTCAGCAGGTTTCATTTCTCTTAACTTCGAAGGGGTTAGTGACCATACTTTTATGCTAGAATCAGTGAATCCAACGGCCATCATGAACGAATCTTCTGATATTTCAGCACAAGTAACGCTGTTATGAGAGTTTAAAATAGTGTACAAGCAAACTGATGGCAAAGAATCCTTACCAAGTGGAACTCTCTTTGATGCCTCGCGAAGTGCTTTGAGCTTTTCTAGTTTGTCGGCATCCTTCAGCTCGGGCAAAGGTATTCGATCCATTGAAGGAGCATTAGGATCCGACTTAGATTTCTTTGAGAAAAGTGGATCTTTTTTAGGCTTCTTCTTTTTTGGTTTATCAGGAGCATCTGGATCGTTGTCGTCTTCCTCCTCCACGGCGGTTGGGGCTGGCGTTGTAAGGGATTGGAAATCCACTTCCTTTAGCAATCCATAGTAAACTCGGATCTTATTGTCCTGCCTTCTCGCTTCTCCTATTAGAGATCCACTAGTTGCATTGCATTGTGACTTGCTACGTGCCGTGCCTTCATAAGTATCAAAACTTATATATTTCATGACAATATCTGCGATCAACTCCTGCTTCCTATCTTGTATGTGTCTTTTAAACAGAGAGTGCGCATCCCTTGACATACGTATGATGAATTTATCCGAATCCATTGAACTAACCCAATCATTGTTTTCCATTTCACTTTTCTTTGTTATTAGCAACAAATTCTGCAAATCTTCTCTATAGAAGTAATCCAAGTCCGGCCCATATTTCTCAACAAGGGCGCGCGCAGCCTTCGCATAGCCACCTGAAACGAGTTTAAAGTAGATTTGGACCAATATGGGGTAAAGCACCATGAACAGCTCATGCTTATATATGTCCAACGACTCGTCCACGAAATTGCACAAGTCCCCGTAAGCCAAGTCGTACAACTCAGGATCGCTTCCAGGTCCTTCTTTAGGTTCTCCATTACACTCTGGATTATCGCCCAACGCAGAGGTTAAAATATTAGTAATTTCTTTTGCGTCTACTTCCTCTAGTTCATCTTGTTTGATGTTGGCTTCTTGACACAAAAGTTCTTCGGTTTGCTTAAGGTTATACTTTTTAATTAGTTTGAGCAAGACGAGCAGATCCCGCTTATCCGCGGTTGGTTTTTTCGTTTCTCCAGATACCACCGGCGAGTCGGTTCCATTTGTATTCATTATAAAATTAATTTATTTAATTTTGTTCAAAAAACACAGGCAGCGTTCGCATAAACAAAAATGTCTTCTATTTGGCTCTGAATGAACTAGAGTTGGGTAGTTCCGGAACGAACTAGTTCATTGGAACTATTCCGAGAAAGGAACGAACGGAACTAGTTCCAGTTCTTTAATTAATATAATTCTTTTCTCTGATCCAGTTCCTTTTTTGAACTATTTGAAGCAAAGGAACTGTATGGAGCAAAGGAACTATAAAGAGCAAAGGAACTATATGGAGCAAAGGAACTATTTGGAGCAAAGGAACTATATATGGAAAAACGAAAAAATATAATAAAAGAGAGAGAGAGAGATTCAAAAGAACAGTGGGAAGCCTCCAAGACTCCAGCCTTCATAAAATTCGCTTGTTAATCGTCGTTCTGCCAAGACTCAAGCGACGTCGTACGCAAACCTTCGCCAACAAATGGTCTGTTCCAGTACTTTTTATACCCTCCACCATAGTATGGAGGGTATATTAATTTTGTCAGTCCGTTTGTAACTCATCGAAATATTCATTTCCGACCCTATAAAGTATGTATATTCTTGATCAGGGTAAAATTCTAAGACGATCTAGCAATGTCCGTCCGTCTGTTGTAATCACGCTATCTTCTGAAGGAATTGAGATAGGGTGCTGAAATTTTGCATAGGGTTGTCTTTTGTCTGCAGGCAGGGCAAGTTCGAAGATGGGATATATCGGTCCACGTTTAGGCATAGCTCCCATATAAGGGTACCCCCCAATTTTCGGTATTTTGGGGTTCTTGAGCGCGTTTTTCAAGCGAATTTGTAGTAAATGTATCCACAAAAAATTATAAATATAGGTCCACTTTTTCTTGTAGCCCCCATATAACGGTACCTCCTAATTTTCAGTATTTTTTGGATTTTTATCGTATTTTTCACCGAATTGGCTGTAATTTAGTATTTTGAGTTCTTAGCAGGTACCAAATCTCTCCACAAAAAAATTTAAATATAGGTAAATTTTTTCGGATATCCCGCATATAAGGGTACCCCCCAATTTCGGTATTTTGGGGTTCTTGAGCGCGCTTTTCAACCGAATTCGCTGCAATTTTGTACATTGGGTTCATATTGCGTACCAAATATCTCTACTAAAAATTATAAATATCGGCCCACTTTTTCTGGTAGCCCCCATATAAGGGCACCCCAAATTTTCGGTATTTTGAGGTTCTTAAGCGCGATTTTTTTTAATTTTAATTTGTCTTTATTTACTTTGTAATTGAAGCCAAATTACAATTTAATGGCCAATTTATGTATAATTACAAAGAATCCACCTTATATCATAGCTACTCTAAAACAAATTCTTATAAATATAATATAATAAATATTTTAAACATGTTTAAATCTGCATTACATCATCACTACTCAAATATATCCACTTTTAAACAAGTTATTATAAATAAATGATGTTAACACTAATAAAACATTATGAATGTAATTATGCAGATGAATTTTAAAAAACTTCGTGACATCATGGCTACTCAAATGTAAAATATTAAATAATATAAATTTATAAATACAATACATTGAATACTATTGTGGTTGTTACGTAGCTTTAAAATGATAATCAATTTTTGCAAATCAAGTAAGGCAAAATCATATAAATGATTTGAAATGTATATAAAAAAGTTAGAACAGATTTTCGGAATAGTGTTGAAGAATTTTTTTCCTGAATAAGTTATAGGAATAACAGAATAGCTTTAAATTATTTGGGAGTATATTAAATAAACGAGTTACTCTAACAGTAAACGATTCATTCATATGGGGGCCAATTCTTGGCATGATTAGTTGATTTAATCGAACCGAATGACAAAAAGTAAAGTAATTTGTTAAAAACAGAGGTGATTGTTGTTTAAACACTTTGTAAAATAAAACCAAAACTCTGAAATTGATAAAATCGCGGAAAGAACAACCGAGAAAGCGATATACATAGGGGGAAATATGATCATACCGTTTTCTGGAATATAGATAGCGCATAACTCTGTTAAAAGCTATCTGCAGCATAGAAATATATCTATCATAAGTGCCCGAATACACCTCTAAACAGTATAGCATATTGGGCATAATAAGAGCATATATTAGTCTCTTCTTTACATGATGTGGTAGAATTAAATCGGAATTGTAAAGTTGCCTAAGGGAAAAGTTTATATGGGCAACTACACTACTGATTTGACACTCAAACGTTAGCTTGTCGTCTAATATAACACCCAAACACTTCATGCTGTGTACAATGTTAATATTTACTCCACGATAAGTTAATTGCAAATTGTTAACTTCCTTATTGGCAAAGATCATTGCATTCGTTTTCAATGGGTTAACAGAAAGACGATTGGCAGACATCCAATCACTGAGATTTCTCATAACGAGATCAATTTTAGATTGCAATATATTTTCGTAAGCGAATTCGCCTACAAAAAGAAGTTGTACATCATCTGCGTACGCATAAGGTATACACCAATATTTCAATTTATCAAACAAATCATTTAAAAACATAATGAATAAAAGAGGTCCTAAGACCGAACCTTGCGGAACGCCGCAACCGAATTCGCTGAAATTTGGTACAGTGGGTTCATATTGGGTACCAAATATCTCTATTTAAAATTATAAATATCGGTCCACTTTTTCATTTCAAATACCTGTCAGTATACCTGTGGTGGAGGGTATCCAAAGTTCGGCCCGGCCGTTAAGTTCGGCCGTTAAGTTCACTTGTTTAATAGTAAAGCTAGTAAAAGGGAAACATTTCAAGTCTCAGAGTACAAAATAATTTGAAAAGTTCGGGAACGCAAATCTAGTAAATATGCCAAAATTAGATGGCAATACTTCAAAATCAACATAACAAAAAGTTTACAAAGAGAAAGCCATTTTGTTTTGTGCTCTCTTAAATTTGATTCAATGCTTTACCAGTTTTATGGGTTCAGGAACGGTTTTCGAGTAAAAAGTTGTAAAACTTGTAAAATTAGTATATTCTTTTAGGTTTTGGAACGGAGCTAAAATAAAAACGACGACTGAAAAATTGAAAAACGTTCCACCTGCTAACGAATGGGAGGAGAAGACAAAATGGCCGATAAAGATGAACTCAAAATGGTATAACCGAAAGTTTACGAATGAGGTGGGATAGAGACTAAATGGAAACCGTGTTGTTTACGAATGAGGTTTAGGCAAATTATGATTAGGGATAAGTAAATCGACTTTCGATTAATCGACTTTTTGTATTGAAAAGTCTAATGCCATGTACAGACGAGCGTTGTTCCCTCTCTCATTCGTGGTTCGACTCTTAATTATGAAGTAATTACATAGTTCAAAGGAACTACATTAAGGAACTAGTTCTTTTTTAAAAAAGAAACGAGAATGATCGATCCGCTACGTGAACTAGATTGCCCAACTCTAGTTCGCATAAACAAAAATTCTAAAAATTCAATGTCTATTTGTCTCTGAATGAACTAAAAATTCCGTTCACAAAAAAGAGTTATCGGAACCATTGGATATGCACAGGCGGCAAACACATTTGGTCTGTTCCCGTACTGCAAGAATCTACTACTTTTTTTCGAAGAAAATAGGAAAATCTAGTAGATTCTTGCAGAACGGGAACAGACCAATTCTCAGAGTGTCCAAGTTCAGTTTCAGTGGATGAGAATGTAATGTCATGTTCTGACGGGGATTCGAACAACGAAGTTCGAACTCAGAATTACGTACATGAATTAACCCGTTCATACAACACTATTTTTAATTCAAGTCATCTGAGTTTATTTTTCCAAACTTTTTGTTTCTTGTTGTAAGATATTTGCGTGAAAAAAATAAAGGGCTAAGCTGAATGTTTTTTTTTTTGTTTTTTGCGCGCGTTAACGCGATAACAAAAAACCTTAAAGGGCTAAACAGAATGTTCGCGTTGAGCCATCCGTCGCGTTATATGTTATCGAAAATACAACAACCACAAGGAAACGATAACACAAACGCTCGAAGTTGATGTACGCTGCGCTTCGGAGTTAAATATATTTTAACTTTTTGCGTGCGTTAACGCGATAACAAAAAATGTTCAACGCGAACATTCTGCTCGCGTTGAACCATCCGTCGCGTTATATGTTATCGAAAATACAACAACCACAAGGAAACGATAACACAGACGCATGTCGTTTCCTTGTGGTTGTTGTATTTTCGATAACATATAACGCGACGGATGGTTCAAAATATTGAATAAAATTTAAGAAACCACAAACCAAAATGGTTTTCTCTTTGTAAACTTTTTACTCAAGAAATTTGGCCGAGTAAAAATGGTAAACAGGAATTCCTACTTCTGATTGGCAGTTATGTTGGTTTTGAAATATTGCCATCTAACTTTGGCACATTTACTTTTTAAATTATTTTGTACTCTGAGAGCGATGTTGACATTATTTCTAGCTTTACAATTAAAAAGTTCTGGAACAGATAAACAGTTATAAATGTACATATTGTTAAATTTGGTTTGTAACTTTGCTATTCTCACTCAAAATGTCGTTTGTGAACGCCAGGCAAATAAATGTAGAAAAACGAAAGCGCTCGAAATAGTTCTGGTTGTTCATTTCATGTTTCCATTTCTCATCGTTCCATTGAACTAGTTCGGTCAGGAACGACGCAACTTTGAAGGAGCAAAATTACAACAAAAGTTTATTGAGCTACTAACTAAACCAAAAACAACAAAAGAATGTATTTTTAAATTGCAAACAAACCATTTTATTTTACGAACACTATTTTATAAAAGAGGGTGAATTGTATACGCCGAACTGCATCGGTGAGGGAATTTATTTCGACACGAAGTAAAATTGAACTGCATTCCTTTGTTGGTGAGTAATATATAGATGCGATGCATCGACTAATCAGGGAGAGTTGATTGGGTTGCATTTGTGGTTAGCAAAATCAATTTGTTTATGGGTCACTGAAATTAAGGGTGCGGTTCAATCACTAATTTATTCCATCCCCATTGTTCTTAGCCGTAGTCAATATGCCCATTTTATATTCCGTAATATCCCGAGGCGTTACGGTTTTGGCAAAGTATGCCGAGTGTGTGGGTAACTTCGCCGAGGTAACCGACCAGATAATATCTAAGATCGCATTAGATAACCACAAACTCACCTACTCTCATGGTGATTACCTGATCCATTACGTTTGTGAAAATAAGTTGATCTATATGTGTATTACGGACAGTGTAAGTAGACTCTGGATTTTTTTTGTTTGTTTTGTATATTTTTTTGTAACTATTAAAATGATCCACTGTCCAATAAGCAGGAGTTTGAGCGAGCCAGGGCTTTCCTATTCCTAGCTGATATTAAACAGAAATTCATTCACACATATGGACTGCAAGTGGCTACTGCGATCGCTTATGCTATGAACACAGAATTTTCAAAAGTCCTCGCTCAGCAGATGACCTTCTTTAGCCAGTCTGTCGAAATAGACGCCATTTCACGTGTACACGGTCAAATTGACGAACTAAAGGACATCGTTGTGAAAAATATTGGTGAGAATTGTATTTATTTTTGTGGTTGTTCGGTTTATATTATTTTATTTTGCTGTTGTAGACAATCTCAGAGATCGTGGCGAAAAGTTGGAATTGCTTGTAAATAAAACTGAAAATTTAAGCAACAATGTGAGTATTGTAATATTCTTTATTGAAAAAAAATATATGATTTTTACGGGGGAAGTCCATACTTTGAGCCATTTTAGTTTGTATTCTCTTAGATTTGGTTGAATTATTATTATTATTATTATTTTATTATTTATTTATTCATTTCAAAGCCAAGCCAAAAAGCCTTATATGGCCAGTATACTACAAAATTAGACCAAATTAAAAATATAAATTTTAAACAATAGTATTTCTTTTCATGTTACATTTCTTCAAGCTCCATAAATATTCATTAAAAGTAATAGAAAAAAATCATTTGAATAAGAACTACTCTGAATTGATTTACAAAAACATTAAAGTAAAATATTAAGTAATTACAGAAATTTATCTTCAGTATTCAACTACTCAAAATAAACAAATTAAATTGTATGAAAATAACTCAAAATGGCCAAAAATAAAGGATAGATTTAGAAGGAAATTATTATTATTATTTTTTATTATTAATCAATACAATATTGAATTTAATTAATATATTTAATATATGGCTAAAACCAGGGAAAAACAAAAAAGGCTTAATTGTAGCCTTTTATTCAAGCGATTGAAGATATTGTAAGAGTTTATTGCGATATGAGTATTGGGATAAATTGAACGTTCGCAAAAAAAGTGGTAATGAATTATATACCCTAGCAACCCTAGTGCAATATGAACGTTCCAAAATTGGAGTTAATTGTGGAAAAATAAGTTGGGGATTTCTTGTGGACCTAGAGAAATTAAAAAAATTCACAAGAAATTGTGGACACTGTATTTTAATAATCTTATAAAAATGAATTATAATTCGTAGATTTATAAATTGACGAAAATTGCAACCCAAAAATTGTATTACATAATTTGAAACATGTTGTCTGATATTCAAACCATATATGTATCTTATCACTCTATTAAAAACAAGGCGTATTTTCTTCATAAATGTCCCGATGGTTCCTGAATATATTTCCACACAATAAATTAAAATTGGCATTATAAGCGCATGTGCAATCTAGTTCAGTGGGATCAGGCACCGTTTCCAAGAAAACAGTTGCAAAACTTGTAAACTTATTGGATTATTTTTGGTTCTGAGTGGGAACTAATTTTTATAATTAGCCATTTTGGACTGTTGAGTTAGTATGGGCGTTCATTGAAAATATTATTTGAAGTGAAGACCCTAATTATGAGTCGTTTATTTTAAAAGAGATTTAAGTCCATTTTAGGTCCTAATACAAATGTTGGTTTTTATGTTTAAGGGTACAAAGCCACAACCAAAATTAAAACCCCTTACTATATCTTCGAGCAAATCAAACCCAAACTTTTTAATATCAGAATATAAGAAACAATGGACTTCAACCAATTTCAAAATGAACGACTCATATATTCCGAAAATTTATTTTACAAAATAGCAAAAAATCACAGTGATTGTCACTTATAATTTATATAAATACACCCTTAAAAAATACCTAAATATTAAAAAACGCCATAACAAGGCCTATATAAGGTCGGGCAGAAAGCAATACATACATACAAAATTATTTTAGACGTCATATTAAGATTTTGAAAATATTAATATAAATATTTTGTCAAAATTCAATTCAATTTTAATTTATATTAGGTCTGTTCGGGTACTGCAAAAAGCTACTACATTTTACTACGATAACACTTTTTTCCTTTATGATATCGAACAAAATAGTAGAATCTTGCAGTACGGGAACAGACCAATTGTCATTGTGAAGCACTTTTTGACTATTTCAAGAGTTTAAAGAAGATTTTCAAGTAAATTATCCTACAAATTATAAATTGTGTTGTGTTTTGGCTATTTTTTTATTTAAAGGCGAAATTAAGGCACATCTGAAATTTTGGAAAAAAAACACGAAATTGTACACTGGAGTGTTGGAAAAATATAATTTGGTTTGATGAAACTAAAATTAGTCGTTTCCAATAAGACGACAACAAACATTACTAGGGACTCTTACATGCAAATTTTCAGCAACGTGATGTAAATCAAATTATAAGACATGGCGGGGAAAGTTTTTTTAGGTGTTTCATTTGTTAATCATGATAATATTTGTTTTACATTACATTTAGACTTCGCTTAGTTTTTATATTATATTACTTTTTTTCCAGTCTGTGGCATTCCGAAAAGCGTCCAGAAACTTGGCAAGACAAATGTTTTGGAAAAACATCCGCCTCTATGTGGTTGTTGGGCTAATAATAATATTTGTGGTGTATGTTATTGTCAGCATGGCCTGTGGGGGACTAGCATGGAAAGGTTGCTTGAAATAATACCATTAACAAAATTAAATAAATGAAAAAATAAAACATATTATCGCTTTAAATTATAATTTTTTAATAAGAAAAATGTATTTACATATATTATATCTTATATTATAAATCAATGTTACACTGGTATTGAAAATATAGTAATAATAATAAGAAATCGTATATAATTTTGTATTATATGTATGTTTGAAAAATAAAGCTTGAACAGCTTAAAAATAAGATTCAAATTTGAATAAAATTCCAATAAAAATGTGTAAACGGAAGTCAACAAGAGTAATTTAATGGTCAATGAATATACAGGTCTTAAGGTGAATTATCTTCGACATAAATCACATCATTGTTTTTGATTACACCTGCGCGGCGAAGTCCTAGATGAACTCCAAGAGCGGGACTTGCATAATTTTTAAACATGCGGTAACTAAAATACAAATATTGTGATTATTTAAATTGAATAAGAATACTAACGCCCGTTCACAAATACCTTTTCAGTGTCTTTAATGGATCCCCATTGGGGTCCCGCTCTCCAGTTGTTACGTTTATGTTCGGGAATATGCAACGTGTGCATGGTGCTACAATTCTGAAAACTGCATTTTCACCAATTCGTATCCACTGCCAGTTGTCTTCGGCGTACGGTTCGTCTTTGTCCATATGCAAGTGAAAATTGCCCCTAAACTGTAGAGGATCAACAAATTTGTTCATTTTTTCCCTCAAATCCTCAACAGAAGCCAAATTCATCAACATGTAACTGGTAGCATCGCCGAACGTGCCCTTAAAAAATAAAAATCATATATTTCCGTATTTATCTGTTATTCAATCTCATACTGAGTCTTCCTGTTTAATAAACGGTTCCTTGGCCATACGAGCATTTGTGGAGCGTACTGGTTTAGGATATGGATAATAAACCAAACGCAAACCAGATTCTTTTTGAAGGATGCATCGCGAAAACCAACTGTCGTATTTTTCCCCACACAACATTGCATCTATCTTTGTTCCCCAAACCGACGTATGAACGTCCTTGCCAGGAGCCTCTTCAACCAGTTTGCTGAAGTCCAATTCCAAAGATTCCATGCCATCAAAGTTGAAACATAACTTAGCATCGTCTATGGCCATGACCTGTATCAAAACCATTTTTGGGTAAATACGTGCCGTTATCATTTCATTGTTTTCGTTGATCAGCATTAGGGCACGATCACGCACTCCCCTGTACTGCAGTCCCAAGGTTTCACAAAACACCTCATCATTATCGGACAATTTTAATGGGGCGCATGATTTCACAGGGAATATATTGATTTGATCCAATGTACCAATGCGGCGCCACTTCAGTGGCATAACATCCCGCTTGATGTACTTATAGTATAAATATGATAGGCCTCCCGCTATCATCGTTACACCCAAACCGGCTCCAATGTAGACGGTGGATCTATTATTTGCGACGCTAGAAACTGCAAAATAAATTTATGTATTCACATGTATTAGTGCTAACGCAAATGCATATCAATAAGGCGCAATTTAAACTTCAACAAGCGTCACCTACTTGACATTTTAGCAAATTAAAAAATCCACTGAGGCTGAAGCGATAAACCTCGAGCGTACAGATAACTGGAACGACTGAAATAAAAATGCCACCTAGCTATAGCCTATTTGAAATCGTCACTTAAATCATTGTCGTCAGTGCGTCAAGTGTAGAAAAGCGTAACTAACAAAATAATCAAATAAAGTAAATAATTATTATTCCACTATCTAACTCATAAAAAATAATAGAAGAAAAGTGACTGTTTGGAAACTAATCGCAACTATAAAGGCAGTTGGGATAACTGTAATTTCTTTTTTGTCTTAGCATTTGAACGCTTGTATTTAAAAGTGCATGTCCCAAGGTAGACATCATGAACTATAGTAATTTTTTTCAATTTTCGATAGCTACCAAGGTAGATATACAAGGTAGCCGCATCGGCGAATTTCTACAACAAACATCGGTTGTTGTATTTTGATATGTCAAAAATATTTTGCCAAAACAAACAGATTGGCAAGATTTTTTTACACAAATTCATGTAGAAAATGTTAATAAAAGTATTGCAAAAAAAGCTCTTCGAAATTCGGAGATTTTCATTCATAATTTTGTTTTTTAATTTTTTGGTTCAACATTACAACAACATTTTTGACATTTATTTGTCCAACAGCTGGGCCGATGCGGCTACCTTATTAAATATACCTTGATAGCTACCTTGATTTTTACCAGGTGGCGAATTCATGACCAAATGGAATCATGCAAAAGAAAAATGGTAATACTCAGTAAGTTTTATTTCAGAGAAAAGTAAACAGACAACATCCAGTAAGATTTTGCAAAATATTCCGCAATATCGGAGTTTTGAAAATGCAATTATTACAATTAATTCATTTTAGAATGAAATGCTGTATTTCGTGAGTAACATGTCTTGAGTCGTTTTGAATTGCACCAAAGTAATAGCATTTTCAGCTTCTTCTTCTTCTAAATATAAATGCAATTCATAACAAATATCAACGTAAATGATTTGTTTCAGAACCATGGTCCAATAATAAGGTCGTCCGATAAGACCGAGCTGTCAATATTCATTCATTCAATTTTGACTTAATCGTATGAAACAGTAAACAAAAAATTTGACATATTGGAGGGTTTTCAGTCAAATTTGCCGATAATATTCGCTGATGCGGCTACCTTATTCAATCTGCCTTGGAATTAAGGTAGATTTTACATGGTAGCCGCATCAGCAAATTCCAAAAAAAATCGTATGAAACAGTAAACAAAAAATTTGACATATTGGAGGGGTTTCAGCCAAATTTGCCGATAATATTCGCTGATGCGGCTACCTTATTAAATCTGTCTTGGAATCAAGGTAGATTTTACATGGTAGCCCCATCAGCAAATTCCAAAAAAATCAGGGCCATACGTAATAGCGCATTTATATACGCACTTTATATGATGTGGATTAACGAAATCCTGAAAATAAATTAAGGTTGTTTAGACTGTCATTGAGATCATATCAAATGACTGTCAGCTGGTATTTCTTTACATATACACACACACTCATACTTGTTTACAAAAACAAAAAATTGTGTTTACAAAGAGAAAAAAATGCGCTTGTATGCACTTCAGTTTCATAAGCAGTGGCTGGCTACTTTTCATCGACTACATCGACGATGAATATTCATCGACTACATCACCAGTTATATTAATGCTCCGTGGTAATTTGTAAAGTAGTGTCTCGAATCTTAAAAAAATCATAGTCAAATTTTCAACTTCATGATTACGTGAACTAAGTACTAATATTTATTTTTTTTAATGGTACTTTTTATGTTTTTGCCTTTGTTTAGAAACATGCCATAATTATACAAGGTAGGCTCATGCAGTCATATGTTTACAATTTTTTCATAATTTAATTAATTGTATGGAATTTATTTTTCATTTTATTTGTAGAGACTACCTTCTGTAATTATGCCATGGTTTAGAAATAAGACCACTTTTATCTCAAAAGTGGTTAAATTTGATTTTAAAAAAATTAATGATGCCCATGAATTTATCGACGAATGGTAGTTAAAAAGGTGAGTCATCACCAAAGCGGCCATCGCCATATAAAATTCGCCGATCAAAAGCATTGTCGGTAGTTGCTCAGGTAGTAGATATCTTTAGCGACGAATGCGATTTTTTTTCGTTTTTCGTTAAATATAATTTTTTTTTGTGGGGCACTTCAGAATAAAAAACAATACAATTTTCGATATTTGGTTTGAGGCATGGTACAATAATACAAGGTAGGGCAGCTTGAGGTGAATAACAAAAAATCAACTATGTACGTGTGGCCTCTTCTGCAAAAAAAAAAAAAAATAAGTATACGCAACAAGTGTTTGTGTTTATTTGATATTTTTTCGACACAAAACTAAAAACGCGAAAAATGAATTAAAGGTTATGATTTCTTCCCAAATTCCAGTAGGGAATACCATAAAATGTCTGTTTCATCCATAACAAAGTAATTGCTTCCAGACGAACGTGTTGAAAACTTTATTTTCATTTCAATTAAACTTGAATAAACATTATTTTTCGGTTAATTGCACATCAAAATTTGCACAATTTTTTCTTCAATTAACCGAGGAACCAATTATCCGAACCCGCTTAATCGAATAGTTTGTTCAATTACAGTAATCACGTATAATTGGAACTACTAATGATATAAAAAAATCCAATGACAAATACAAATTACGCTTTCTTGCAGTTTTTCCTTAGCAATAAACATATGTTTTGAATTAAATTATGTCAAATATGTATGTAAAAAATGACAGATTATTTGTCAATTATTATTATGCAAATAACCGGTGAAAAGAAAAAGGAAATTTATTTTTGATGACATGAATTTTGAATCAATTAAGCGGGAAAATCAATTGACAGGTTTTAATTATCCGAGAAAATTTACATGTATTTTCTTATGAATTATTTTTTGCCCCATCATGTGGTTCAATTAAGCGCAGAAACCAATTAACCGTAGGGTCAATTAACCGAAAAATAATGTATTTCAATTTATTTTGAATTTATTTGACATTGTATTCAAAACAATACACACATATACACAAAATATGTATTTTGATTTGATGGAACAGCCACCTTGAGAAAAAAATTGTAATCAGATGGTGACTGTGCCCTACCTTGCAATAATTATACCATGGTTTGAGGAAAGAAAAAAGCAAAGAAACATATTGTTGTAAACAACAATATGTTTCCCTGTCAGTGCAGTTGGTGATAACGACAATTTGGACGAAAAATACGTAAATTCAAAGAGGAAATTTGTGATTTTTCATGCATTTGCCATCAAGATGGATCAAATGTCATCAAATGTCCGCGAAAAAAACCAAAATAAACTTGAAAATGTAGAAGACCGCCGTTGGAGTTCACCTTAAAATATATATAATCAAAAATACATTCTTGAGCCTTAGTAGGCATTGTTTTATCTCTCTTTTACATATTAATAACTTAAAGGAGTAAGAATGGGTGCTGAATTAATCTTTATTAATGCATTCTGCAAAAACATACAACATTGTAATAATTTTTTTAAAAAACTACTACCCTTATCGTTTTCAACTGTTTGTTGTGTATAAGATAACTAATGAAAATATCCGGGAAAGAATTAGCTTTGTTCACTATATGCCTAGTTGCTTATAACCATTGGTCGTTATATCCAGTGTGGAAATCTGAGTTTTCTCATTCTTGTACATATAAATCATTTAAAAAGGCAGGAAATCGTTAACAACGCCATTATTAATTTTTGCCTCGAATTACTTATACAGTAGTGGACATTCGTTTGAGCGCATATGATGTTTTTCATTGTTATTATATACCTTTGAAAATACATTGTTATTATATACAATATTTTTTAAACAAAATGATGAATTTATTTAAGTTATCGAATATCAAATACAAACCAAAAACATTTTTCATACACTTTTTAAAATTTCCTGGCAAAATATGCCTTCGTTTGAGCGCAGCTCATTTTAAAATAAAAAATGACGTTAAAGACAAAATTCACAATATTGTTATTATTAAATTAATAATTAGCATGTCCACCGCTATTTTAGGTAACAGATAGAATACGGTTTGACATAGAGTATTCCAAATTTTGGACAGTATTTATGCTGATATCTAACCAGCATTCTTTCACAGAATATTTAAGGTAATTTACAAAAGAAAACATTATGCCGAGTCATACACCTTTGCCACAGGAATCTCAGATACGTTTTCAATAGGATTACAGTCTGGAGTGCAAGCCGTCCGTGGTAAAATATTTATATTTTTGTCAGAAAACTAAGTTCTTGTTAGCTTCGAGGCTGGATGGAAGCGTTATCCTGAAAAAATTATATCATTGTCCTCTTTTTAATCAAAAAGTGTTAATAAAACGACGCCCAATAATTCATTATACATTTCAGAATCCATTTTGGTGGACACATCACAAAGTGGAAGCTTACATTCGTACGAGTATGCACCCCATACCATATGATTTCCCCGCAGAAATTCGGCTTCGTTCTTAACAAAAGTTTTTTACATTTTCGTGTATGTTAAAATTATAATAGTTTGGTCCATACAAAAACAACTTATTATCGTCAGAGAATATGATAATTTACAATTTATTTGTTCGAGTCATATGCATTTATCGAATTCCACTAAATTCACTTGTAAGCGTTCGTTAAACGTAGCTTGGTTATTAGTTTAGTGCATCTTATTAACAGATAGCTAAAAAATTTCCTTAATATTGTTGTTGGAATATCCTTTATATCTTAAAGTAGAATTGGAATTGTCCTTTGTTGATGGTTTTACTCCACAAATTGTCATTTTTGACGTTTAATCTAATCACACAGTCTGATTGATTTATTAATTTTAAAATTTTTGTATTAGAATGTCCATATTACCTCATAGAATTGATGATATTTTTCTCCGTACCATGTAATAGCGTAACCGAACCCATTTATGCAAAAATATGAGTAATTTATAACTCTTGTTTATTTTTCTTTTTTTAATTACTCCCTG